GGGTGTTGGAACACGGTATGACTTAAATCTAATCACAAGCAGCTTTGTAAGTGATTCCGTCTGCTTCCTCCAGTGATTCTGCCTGGTTCCTCCAGTCTCCAGTGACCCAGGGTTCACACCCACAAGCCATCGCCTGCTGGTGCCAGATAACCTCCTCATCAGCTTCCGAACTCATGGCTGCTCCTCCCAGACGGGAGTATAAAATGAGGCCTCCAGAGCCATGCCATCAGACTCTGAGCCGGGCTGTTTTCACTTGGGCTGCCCCAGAGGGGGACAGGCGAGAGCTCTTCCCACCCCAAGGGACCCAGCCCTGGCAGCCAACCTCCACTACCCAACAGCTGCCATGCTCCAGGCCACTTTCCGGAACATGCACACATCATAAGACACTTCGTATCCATCCATTTTCCATAATTACCACAACATGTTTGATGGAGTTCAGACAGTAGGCAACAAATCATATATATATATATATATATATATATATATATATATAGGCTGAAGCGATAGCACAGCAGTAGGGCATTTGCCTTGCACGCAGTCAACATGGTGGACATGAGTTCGATTCCTCCACCCCTCTCCGTGGTGGAGAGCCCGGCAAGCTACTGAGAGTATCTCCCAGCAAGCTACCGAGAGTATCTCGCCCGCACGGCAGGGCCTGGCAAGCTACCCGTGACATATTCGATATGCCAAACATAGTAACAACAAGTCTCATGATGGAGACATTACTGGGCCCGCTCGAGCAAATCGATGAACAACGGGAGGACCGTGATATATATATATATATATATATATATATATATATACATATATATATATATATATATATGCCTTTTGGAGATTCCTGCAAGCTACCGAGAGTATCCCGCCCACACGGGCAGAGCCTGGCAAACTCCCCATGGCATATTCGATATGCCAAAACCAGTAACTATAACAGGTCTCAATCCGCTGACCCTGAAAGAACCTTCAATAGTTGGGAAAAACGAGTAAGGAAAGTCTGCTAAAATATCAGGGCTGGGAGGAATAGAGATGTTACTGGTGCCCGCTCGAGTAAATCCACAAACAGGATGACAGTGATACAGTGATGCAAAGTTTAAAAAATTACATTTGCAAAGATATAAAAATTGTCACCAGGTTCAATTCCTCCACCGTTCTCGGAGAGCCCAGAAAGCTAAGAGAGTATCTCGCCTGCACGGCAAAGCCTGGCTAAGCTACCCGTGATGTATTCAATATTCAATATGCCAAACACAGTAACAACAATTCTCAAAATGGATACGTTACTGGGATACGTTACTGGGCCTGCTTGAGCAAATCGATGAACAACGGAAGGACAGTGATAAAAATTGTTACACATAATCCAAATAAAAATCACTATATCGCTGTCCTCCCGTTGTTCATCAATTTTCTTGAGCAGGCCCAGTAATGTCTCCATTGTGACACTTGTTGCTGTGTTTGGCATATTGAATACATCACGGGTAGCTTGCCAGGCTTTGCCGTGCGAGCAAGATGCTCTCGTAGTTTACCAGGCTCTCTGAGAGGGGCAGAGGAATTGAACTCGGGTCGGCCATGCCAAATAAAAATAAATCAACAAAAATCAACTGTTAAATGGCCCAAATCAGTAGTTAGCAGAGAAAGACTGCAATTAAAATTGGTTTTGCCAGTTTTAGAATCAGTGTAAACAAACAACATTGAAACTCAGAGACTTATAGACGTAGAAAAAAGGTCCATCTACTTAGTCACTAGCATGAGTTTACCAAATTTCAGTTAGAAAAAGATAAAAGATAAGCTCAGGCAAAAGAATGTATTTGGTAGTTTGTGTAGAGATTTCTCAAGAGGATACCTAAATTAGCTGTTGCAATATTTGCTGCATTGAGTTTATCATTAAACAAAAGTGGCAATGTTATTGTAAAAGCAGATATAGACTCAGAATATTTTCTTATTGATTAAAAACAGTTTGATCTTCAATTTTGTAACAAAAGGCATTGAAACAAATGTATCTTTGAATAGTTATTCAGAAAGTGAAATACTGTAATTATAAAACTACAAAAGCACACAGATGGCATTATTTGAAAAATAGAAACTAAATTTTTACAGTTGCTCTCCACATTATTTCCCTTTTTGGTATTTATTCTGAGTTTGTTTAACTTTCAAATAATTTACTATAAAACTGAAATACATTTTCTAATTAATTTGCAAAGTAAACTAGGAGTTTAACCAATTGAAAAGTTCAATAGACTTTTAACATGAAGAATTTGATCTATGAAATACACAGAGTTGGTCCAAAAATTCTAAGAGTAACTTCCTATGAAAAATTATAGTATTTATTCACTAATTTCCTTTAGTTAGGGATTTTTATCTACCTTACAGAGATTCTCTGCTTTGATATTAAAGTTATATGTGTTCCAACTAGCTAGAACAATTTATTTAATTATTTTCAATTTTGGGACACACCTGGTAATGTTCAGGAACTACTTCTGACTTGTTGATCATGGCTCACTCCTGGCAACGCTCAGGGAATCATACAGTGAAGAGGATCAAACACTGGAGCTCATAGATCTTTCTCTCCAATTCTAATAAATATTTTTTATAATGAACACTCATCTAAATTTTAATACAGATATCTATATAAAATATACTTGATCAGTACACTTTGACATTTTGATAGACTCTGAGCATAAGTCAAATTTTTGTTACTGGATTGATGCTGAAATTCCAGATCATTTACCAGTGATAGACCTAACTAATTTTTTTCGGAGCCCTCATTAAGCCTTCTCATATATTATGTTTTGAAAGCCCATGCATGAAGAGATAAGTAATCCAGAATAATCAGAATCAGTAAAGTATGATAGGATTGTACTTTATAATTAATATAGTGCTTTTGAAGCACCCATGTAAAAATATCTAACATTATTATTACTGAACACGGAGTTACTGAACTCTGCACTCGGATTAAGTTGACAATGATCTTGTGATAGAGGTACTCATAGTTAACATCACTTTGTAAATGAGAGAATTAATTTCCAAGGGTACCTAACCAATAATAGTTGAGGTTGATTTTATTTTAGAGCCACATAAACAACCCTAACCTCATTCTGTGGCCAGAAAAGAGAATTACTGCAAAACCTGATTATAGTGAATGGGAGTCACTGGTACACTTTGAACACTTACAATTGGGACATAGTGCCCACTGGGGCTGGACGCAGGGAAGTTGGGCCATATCTGGCGGTGCTTGGGAGCTGCTCCAAGCCCTGCTGGGAATTATGTTGACTGGGGATTGAACCTGAGCCTCCCCCGGCAAAGCATATGCTCGGCCTTTTGAGCTTTCTTTTTGGCCCTTAGTGACATTTTTTTAAATGAAATGTTGGATTCCACAATTTCACAAGATCATTGTAATATCATAGCACTGCACTGTAGCACTGTCCTCCCGTTGTTCATCGATTTGCTAAAGCAGACCCGGTTACGTCTCCACTGTGAGACTTGTTGTTATTCAATATAGGCATATTGAATACGTCACAGGTAGCTTGCCAGGCTTTGCCGTGTGGGTAAAATACTCTCAGTAGCTTGTGGGGCTCTCCGAGAGGGACGGAGGAATCGAACTCGGGTTGACTATGTTGACCATGTGCAATGCAAACGCCCTACCACTGTGCTATCTCTACGGCCCTGTGATATTATAATGCTAAGTTATTTCATAAGTTTTATTTTCAAAAAATATACCAGTTATATAGTATTCACATAAATACCTTGCTAGATATAGGTAAAATAGTATTAGTATTGAGCCTAACTTCTATGATGTGAAAACAAGTCATTAACCTCCACAGTTATTACTTAATTCCCTTCAAGGATTATTTGAATTATTATCTGTATTGTGTTTTGTTTGGGAGGCACACATAGCTGTGCTCAGAGCTTATGCCTGCCTCTGCATACAGGGATCAGTCCTGACAATTTGCCTTGCCAGAGATCAAACTCAGGTTGGTTGTATCTAAGGCGAGTGCCCTGCCTACTGTTCTATTATTCCAGCCCTCAAGAACGAATTTAATGCTGTGTTGTGTTAGTGCTTTATAAAGTTTAAAAATTACATGCATTATCATCATACCCTTTCAGGAATTATTTGAATATCTTACCTATGCTTCAGGTAAGATATAATGCTAAAGGTTCCCAAACTTAGTTGGCCTATTATCTCTTTTTAAAAACTTACTCAGCATCTTCCCCAAAGTCTACATTTTTATAAATTAAGAAACTAAAAGCACTCCTGCTTGCGCCTGAGATCTTATTGCCCCTCTGTGGAGGGGTATAATACCACTAACTTTGGAAAAGACTGGGTAGCATATAAAGTACTATGCTGCTCTTTTCTTCAATAAAACTTTTTACAAAACATTGAGAGTGTGTATTTGAAGGGCTGGAAAAGATAGGACAGAATTTAAGGTACTTGCTTTGCACATGGCAAGTCTGAGCATTGCCTGGTGTGGTCCAAAACCAGAGAGTGAGACAGAGAGAGAGAGAGAGAGAGAGAGAGAGAGAGAGAGAGAGAGTTTGAAAAATTGTGATGAGTTGTCTTCTCATTTTTTGCCTAATTGTTTAAAACATACTATCTGAAATGTTCTAAAGTAACTTGAAGCATTTAAATTGTATTTGAAGTATCATTTTTGAGGTATATATTTGAAGTATCATTTTAAAGAGACAGAGAGAGAGAACCTCTAATTTTTCATTTACATATTGTGAGAATAGGAGGGACTATATAAAGGTGACTTAGAACCCTTAAGAGAGAGGGATGTACCCAGCAAATCATGAGGTTTTAGTAAAATGCAACAGTAAAGGCTACACAACCCTCTTCAGCTGAACAAAGTTAATGATTAGCACCTCCTAGACTTTACCACATCATCTCAGGATGTCTATTTGCCTTGATAGAGGACATTATCTTTTGTAGGCCAAAGATGACTACCCTTGCATCTGTGCAGATTAATAATTGATTAGTTCATAGTTGGGAATCTTAGAAAAAGGAAGAGGTTCTTCTCTGCTGGCACTTTTTACTGGGTAACTGGCAGGAGACAGATCTGTGGCAGGCCTGGCCAGCAGGAACATGAAGAGAATCCTGATTGTCCTGCTTGCACTAGCAGGGGTGCACGCCCTCGAGAGGGGTAAGACTTCCAGTGCTCTGTCCACTGACAAGGGCACTTTCTTTTCTGACTTTCTGATAAAACTTAAAAAATTACAAAAATGAAAGTGGGGGAAATTGAGACTATGTTAGGTAGAGAAATTAATCTGAGCTCAAATATGAAATGTTATTCTATTTTGAACAGGAAAAAAATTCAAGGATCTCAAAAAGGAAAAGGGAATATGCCTATTTTTCTTCTCTACATTGTTTGATAATCAAGATGCAGGGAATTATAGTAACTTAGGTTTTAACTGTTAAAAAGATTTAAAAAATGGAGGCTATGGTCAATCAGTGAATATTTTCAGATTTCAAGCTTTTATTTCCACTCAAAGCAGAATATAGCAGAATTGTACATGAGTGTATAAATGTATAAAGATTATATAAAAATAAAAAGTTTTCTTTGATCTTCAAGAAATACTGAATATGAAATAATTGAAAATTCATTACAGTTTCTAATATATCCCACATAAAATACCTTCAATAGCTGTTAAATAAGATAACTTAGCTATATTTATGTTAAAACTATTTTTCAAATAGTCTTAACCTTTGATCGATATATAAGAATTTTTAAACGATAAATTAAAATTGCATCAAATATACAACTTTATGAATTTTATAACTTGGGAGTTTTTCACAATAAATTCTAATACATTTTTTGGTTGATTCTTTAATGCTTGTAAGAGGTTCTGTTTTTGTTTCAGAAAAACTAATATTTTCATTTAGTGTAGTGAACACTCTCACTCAAGTGACACTGGTGAAGGGATTGGTGATGAAACACGGTATGCCTGAAACCCAGTCATGAATACCTTTGTCATTTATAGTGAATCAATTTTTTAAAATCTCATTCAAATAATAAATTAATATTCATATTAATAATACCTAACCAGTGGAATAAAGAATTATATCTAATAAGTTGGGGTTATTAACAATCTTACTTCTAAGATTATTCTCTTTATTTTCATTCTCCCTTGGTTTTACTTTAGTTGTTTAAAACTTTTTCTTTACTATCCGTGGGTTCTGCAGAAGAATCTTTTTTAATACTATGCAATATGAAATAAAAAATAAATTAGTAAACTTGTGTTCCTCAAAATTGGCTATGTCCCAAGAAACCCTGAAAACTTTCTTCCTTTCTTTGAACCTGAAAAATCCTACAGAAGCAACCTTCAAGATAAAGGTGGTCCCATTCTGGTTAGGTCTAAGAATTATGTAAGCTCCATAACATGGATCACCATCTGGACTTCTGAGTCAGTGAAATACTTTAGATTCACCTCAAAGAAATTGTGTCCTTTGGCAAATCACAATATTCTGCAAACTCTGTTTCAACATTCTTCAGCAGTGTCTCACATTTAATGAAACAGATACAGAAAGTCTACAATCACAAAGTTTTGAACTTCACAGTGAATTTAAATTAGATTAACTGACTCCTTACAGGTTTTATAATATATCCTGAAAAGTATAAAGTACATCTCAAAACAATTAATGTTCAATATTTGAGTACATTAATCATGATCCATCGATTCTCTGTTACATAATGACTGAGGATGCTAAAATATTAGTATGCAATCTACCTGGAAGCTAGGGATGCTAACTCCTGGAAGAAAGTTACATAAGTATAGAGAGGAAAAGTTTAGAGACACCTTAGGTAATGCAATATTGGTGTGGATTACAGTCATTTTAAAGTTCTAGAGTTGACCATCCACCAACAGCACTTACCCAGAACACCTTTTCCGAAGTGAATTTTGTCATGAGATTTGCATATAAGTGGATGGACATGGATAGTATCATGCTAAGTGAAATTAGTCAGAAGGAGAGGAACAGACATAGAATGACTGCACTCATTTGTGGAATATAAAGTAACATAATAGGAGACTAACACCTAAGGACAGTAGAAATAAAGGCCGGGAGGATTGCTCCATGGCTTGGAAACCATTCTCACATGCTGGGGGGAAAGGCAGCTGGGATAGAGAAGAAACTACTAAGTAAACGATGATTGGAGGGATCACTTGGAATGGGAGATGTGTGCTGAAAGTAGACTATGGACCAAACATGATGATCTCTTAAATAAAATAATAAATAAAGGCCCTCCCGTTGATCGTCGATTTGCTCGAGCGGGCCCAGTAACGTCTCCATTGGAGACTTTGTTGTTACTGTGTCTGGCATATCGAATACTCTCTCGGTAGCTTGCCGGGCTCTCCGAGAGGGGCGGAGGAATCGAACTCGGGTCGGCCATGTTGGCCGCTTGTAAGGCGAACGCCCTACCACTGTGCTATCGCTCCAGCCAGATGATCTCTTAGTACCTGTATTGCAAAACCATAACACCCAAAAGGAGAGAGAGAAAGAGGGAATGTGCCAGCCACAGAGGCAGGGGGTGAGAAGGGGTGGGGCTGGAAGGAGGGATACTGGGAACATTGGTGGTGGAGAATGGGCACTGATGGAGGGATGGGTGCTTGTTCATTGTATGACTGAAATGTAATCATGAATGTTTGTAATTCTGTAACTGTATCTCACAGTGATTCAATTTAAAAAAAATGAATTTTACTCAAGACTTATTTTTTACTAAGTCAAAATAAGCTCATTTAAGAAATAAGCCATACATTTGTCCTTTTTGGTTGCTTCATAGTTAGTACTTTTGTTGTCTTATAGTTCCTGAAGTCCTAAAAAAAAAAAAGAAACGACAATTTCCCAGTTGCCTCATTTGCACGGTCCCTCCTCTGTGATCCACACAGTTACATTCCTCACCTCCCTTACCTCTTAGCTGAAGCTTCCATATGGAGGAAACTTCTCTGACTAATCTACCCCAAATAGCATCTACCACTGCAGGCTTCTTCATTCTCTTACTCTGTTCTGAGTTTTAGTTCTAATAACCTCATCATCAAAGTGTGGTTTCCTGTAACCAGTTGTTTGTTTATTGCAACAAGTGTAAAAGTAAAATACAACCTCCATGAAATGAAGGACAATTTGTAGAACCTTCTACAAAATTTCAACAAGTTTGTGTAATGTCACAAATTTATCATTATTAGAATATTTCAAATGGTAGCACGGTAGCACTGTCCTCCTGTTGTTCATCGTTTTGCTCGAGCGGGCACAGTAATGTCTCCATTGTAAGACTTGTTGTTAAGTTTAAGATTCAAATCCATTATCACTATTAGTGAATTCACATGTAAAGTTATGCATCTAGGAGCTTCCTAACTTAGCATTTGATCAAAGTTAAAGAAAATGCTCAGTGGTAGTAGGTAGTTTTATTTTATTTTTTGAAAATATAGCTAAGACATTACATTGTAGTGACAATTAGAATGTAGTACCTGAAACATTCTGAAGATGACAGAGAAATTTAATTTTCTACCTGCATTATATTGACAAAACTCATTATTAGTTTAATAAGTTCTCTTTAGCAATCCAAAATAAATGAAGTGCCATAAAAGAACTTGAAGCAATCTTAATCATACTCTAGCACAAATTAGCACTTACTGCCTAATATTTGTAAAATGTTCAATTAGGTTACAGTTTTTATAAGTGGTCAATAATGAGCCTTTACCGCTTCTCTGGAATTTAGCGAGAATACTAAAAAATGATATTCCATTAAGGATAAAATCTTGTTAGAAGTTCAGTGTTACATTCCTATAGATTTTTTCCTTATAAAATTTTTATACACAAATCTAGATTTAAGAAACTAAAGTTTTCTGTGCAATTAACGTTGCTTATAGTTCTCTACTGTACTTTTAAAATATGCATTCAAATGGTTCAAGGGATCTATTTGACAAAAAAATACATTTGATAATAGACTTGATAATAGTACTACCTAAGATACTTATGGCGATGTATAGATATCCCTTTGTCATTAGATTGCATGGTTGTTTTTAATAGCCACTGAAATGTGTGAGTTGATAAAAATTAAAAGAAAAATTATATGTTCAATATCTTCTGAACTTTTTTAATCAAGAGGAATGTAGTTCATGGCTAAACTTTGAAGCAGAATCACTATTTCATGTTTATATTAAAGCTATATTATGTAAATTTGATTTTCCATTCTTCATTTAAGGATGCATTACTTCGGCTATTGTAAATTCATGCGTCATAATTCTTTATAAACTGGTATTTTTTACTAATTAATTTATTTATTTTATTTGAATCATAGGGATATACACATTTACAAAGTTGTTCATCGTTGGATTTCAGTTATTTAATGTTCCAACACCCATCCCTCCACCAGTATACTTTTCCCACCTCCAATGGCAGTGGGACAAGGTTGGGGCAAGAGAGAACTGGTATTTTTTTTAACATTCATGTATCCAGAATTTGAGGAGCTTCTTGAGTCCTGAAACAGAATAGATGTATTTTCCCAAGAGTTTTCAGAAAAGATAGAGAAATTTTTGCTTAAAGAAAACATAATTAGCCATGCCCTATTTGTAAAATGTATTCACAAGATACAGTCACGGTTCTCCTGTTGTTCATTGATTTGCTCGAGCGGGCCCAGTAACATCTCCATTGTGACACTTGTTACTGTGTTTGGCATATTGAAAACCTCACGGATAGCTTGCCAGGCTCTGCCGTGCGCGCGAGATACTCTCAGTAGCTTGCCGGGCTCTCTGAGAGGGGCAGAGGAATCGAACTTGGGTCCGCATATTGGCTGCATGCAAGGCAAACGCCCTACCGCTGTGCTATCGCTCCAGCCACAAATGCCTGATAAATATTATTATATTTGACTCTCTATATTGAGATTAAAGCAATTTAGAGAGTTGATTTAGATTCATTTAGCCTCTCTTGCCCTCATATTTGAAACAAAAAGAAAGACTATGAAGAGAAATAATTTAGCTTTTCAGAATTCTAGTCATAATTTGAAAAGGCAGGAACAAATTTTTCAAAAGCTATCACCTATGCTCGAGCGGGCCCAGTAACGTCTCCATTGGAGACTTTGTTGTTACTGTGTCTGGCATATCAATACTCTCGGTAGCTTGCCGGGCTCTCCGAGAGGGGCGGAGGAATCGAACTCGGGTCGACCATGTTGGCCGCTTGTAAGGCGAACACCTTACCCACTGTGCTATCGCTCCAGCTGCTAAACTCCTTTAGAGTAAGTCTCAAACTCATGACAAAACATACACAAGGTTAATATTTGGTTATTTGGAAAATAACAGACCACTTTCCATAAAAACAATTTATACATAAAGCTCTCAAACCTGACACAAAATTATATAGATATATATACCTCCAACCGGGCGGGAGCAATAGCACAGCAGTAGGGCGTTTGCCTTGCGTGCAGCCAGCATAGCTGACCCAGGTTCCATTCCTCTGCCCCTCTCGGAGAGCCCGGCAAGCTACCGAGAATCCTGGCAAGCTCCCCATGACTTATTCGATATGCCAAACACAGTAGCAACAAGTCTCACAATGGAGACGTTACTGGGCCCGCTCGAGCAAATTGATGAGCAACGGGAGGACAGTGCAATGCATACCTCCAACCAAAAAAGAACAACGATTATTCCATATTCCTTTAAAACTAAGCCCAATAATGCATTCAAGTCAGGATGCAGAGGATCATACTCAAGCATCCAAAAGGGGTAAGAGAAACCTGATACCCTATATGCACTTTGCAAAAACATTTAGAGACAAGAAGATGCTTACATCTGTGGAGATGTAATGAGAATCATAAAGGAAGAGTGCCTCCTTTTAGACTTATGATTACAATATTTATTTGTTTGTGTTACCACAACCGATGATGAGCCCAAGGGCATTAGCTTGAGTCTATGAGAACACTACAATGATCATTTATGGGCAGCTATACCACTAACTCTTTCTTCTCCTGTTTTAATTCATTTTAGCAGTTTCAGAATCTAAAATTAAATTTTATTTGTTCCAATTATGCTGAGGTTCACTTAATTGCCTCTTGCTTTTTTCAATCTATTGATATTATGTGTATCTTCAGATAACATAGAGATCTCTAGGTTTAATATTCAAATTGTTGAATTTCAGTTCATTGACTCAAACAGTAATAAATGCACACTTGTGAAAATACATCAACATCAACATGAAAAGTCAAGTGGTGCTATATTGACATTTTAAAAATGCTAATAGATATGGTTAAGGATGCTAAAAATGAAATATTATTCAAATGACAATTGTATGACAATGTTTCTAGTGATATATCAATAGTTTCATCTCAAATAGACTGGATCTGATTTATCTCAAATCAGCCCATCAATGTTTAATCTTTTCAAGCAAAATCACTATCCTAAAATCATTAATATCTAATCGAATTTGAATAAACACTTTTATTCATAGTCTTTAAAAGGGTGTAAGGGCAGAAAGAGTTCAGTAGTGATGTGCTTGCCTTGCACATGACTGACTCCAATGCCATTTTAAACATTGCATATGGCCCTGCACCCCTCAGGATCCCTCAGAATTATTACCTGAGTAGAGAGTCCAGAGTATGAACATGTATGGACAAAAAAAATTTTAAATAATGAATAAAGGTTATGAATATACAAACAGCTATTCTGAACCTTTCTGGAGAAAGGAAGGATGAAGGAAGGAAGGAAAGAAGGAAGGAAGGAAGGAAGGAAGGAAGGAAGGAAGGAAGGAAGGAAGGAAGGAGGAAAAAGAGGAAGGGAGGAAGGAGGACAGAGGGAGGGAGGGAGGAAGAAAGGGAGGAATGGAGGGAGGAAGAAAGGGAAGGAAGAAATAAAGGAAGGGAATGTTAAAGGGACTAAATTGCAAAATATAACTCAATCATCTATTCAATTAAATCATCTATTCATAAACAAAAAAAACAAACACTGTCCTCCTGTTATTCATCGATTTGCTCAAGTGGGCACCAGTAGTGTCTCCATTGTGAGACTTGTTGTTACTGTGTTTGGCCTATTCAATATGTCACGGGTAGCTTGCCAGACTTTGCCGCGTGGATGAGATATTCTCGATAGCTTGGTGGGTTCTCTGAGAGGGGCGAGGAATCAAACCTGGCTCGGCCGGGCTGGCTGCGTGCAAGGCAAACACCCTGCCGCTGTGCTATCACTCCAGCCTCCATCTATTCATAGACATAACAATTATATTTCATGCACGAATAAGTATTACTGCTGTGTCAAGAGACATGAAATGCATACAGCCATAAAATTTTCCTAAGAGTAAATTAATTTGATCTGAAAAGTTCAAAATTAGACATGACTTCCCAGAATATTTCACAATATAGATAGAAATGGGACATTCTACCACAAAAAAAAGAAGTTGTGCAAACATTTGGCACTAAGGTGTCATTTGATGTGAAAATTTCATCAGTGTCACTAAGACTTTGTCAATATTTACTGTGTCTGTACTAAAGTCCAGCTCACCTTCTTAATAACCACTGACTCATTTGAGAACAGAATATGTTGTTTATAGTTCACTTGGTATAGAATTGTACAAATCAAAGGGAGCTCAACTGTTGTGAACCAAAAATGAAACAAATGTCCACAGAACAAGAAACCAATTTGTAAATATTAATATTGCATATTAATTTTAGAGTTTGTTTTCCCTTGGAAGATGAGAATATTGTTAATGTTTGAATAGTCTTGTGAATTGTACATCTTCTCTTTGGCTATATAACCCTTTCATAAAAATCATATTCTAGTAGTCTATCTGAGAAATACAGTACAACAGCTTCCTCTACAGGTTATTTTTATATGGACAGTTTTACTCAAATTTTAATTCAGAACATTCGCTTTGGGTTTCCTCCTTGCCCAAGGATGACAATTTCAGCAAACTCATTCTGAAATCACTTCAAGTCTTATGCGGTTTATCTGTTTCCTCTCACTATCAAATTATTTTTACACTCCAACACTACCTCTGAATTCTAAAGTACTATGCAAATAGAAGGAGCTGACAAAGTTTTCAGCAATCATCTGTAGTTTTCATTTACACCACATTCACATGCATGCTAAGAGTACCATAACACATTGAGTGAAACTGGTGAGATGAAAAACCGATGCTTAAAGGCTAGTAACAATATTTCTCGGGGCTCACGTGACATGTTTCATTTTGGTTTTGGTTTGGTTTTGCTTTTGCTTTTGGAGTCTCACCCAGCGATGCTCAGTGTTTACTCATGGCTCTGCACTCAGGAATTACTCCTTGTGGTGCTTGGGGGACCATATGGGATGCCAGGGATTGAACCCAGCTTGGCCATGTGCAAGGCACATGCCCTCCCCCCTGTACTATCACTCTGGCCCCCATGTCCATATTTCATTTTGAATATAGGATTTTATCTGGTACTTTATTAAATGAAAATAATAAAAGATTCAACAAGGGACCAGGGAGATAATTCAAAGAGCTGGAGACTAGGCATTCCGTCTTTTAGGCCCTGAGTTCCATTCCTACTTAGATAACTGAGCCTGACTTCAATCCCAACAATTACAGTGTGGTACTGATGGACAGTTTTACTCAAATTTTAATTCAATAGATGCCTGCTAAGAAGAGGATGTCCTCAAGTCAATGTGGTCAGAACTGTCCAGCAAATTGAGGGCATCCTGCACTGCTGGGTCAGAACAAGGCAGTGGTTATTACCTCGCTTACCTTTTTTTGTTCTTATTTCTTTAAACTGAATTAAAAGAGGAGGAAGTGATTTAAATTTCCCTTTTAATACTATTATAAAGACAGAACCTAAGAAATATTGCCATATCAAAAAAAAAAGGAAATATTGCCATATCAATCGTTTCCATCTTGCTACTTGGTATAGAAAGACTGACTTAGTATTTTCAGCATTAATTCACTTTTTCTGATACCTTTTGAAATTTAGAGTATGACAGTGGCTGGGAGTGAGATAGGGTGATAGAACACACACTTCACATTTAGGAAACCTTAGGTGTGATTGCCAGCATCACAGAAAGATTTTATTGTGCGTCATATTAACATAATTCATCATGAGGAAGCTAGAAATGCACCTAATACAAAATGTCATTAAGAAACAAAATATACAGGAAGAAAAGTTACTTTACCAAATATGAATCCGTGAGTACTTGCACATTTGCAGGAGGCGGGGGCAGGGTATCCCTGGCATTGCTTAGGACTCTGCACTCAGGCATAATCTTTCCTGCAGAAACTATCTGTGTATCAGGGATAGAGCTTGGCAAGCACCTTTGCCACTGTACTATCTCTTTGGCCCTATGCATGCATATATAATGTAAAATATGTTGAAAAGAGATAAGAAAACTCTTTCTATTTCTGCTTTCTAGGCAGAGAATATGAAAAGGAAAAAGTCTGCAAGGAACTCGCCCATATGGGAAAAGATAACTTTAGATCTTTGTAAGTATAGTCATCACTCTTGATTACTCCGTTCTGAATGAAACTGTATATGGTAATTTCAGATCAGCCTGGAGGGGGCAATAGATGCCTGCTAAGAAGAGGATGTCCTCAAGTCAATGTGGTCAGAACTGTCCAGCAAATTGAGGGCATTCCAAATTTACAATGAAACTATTAGTATTATTGTCGAAGACTATTATCAGTAAGTTCATCGATGAGTTAAGAGAATAAGTAAGCATATTCTAAAGTAAAAACTAATGCTAGGACTCCAACACCGGTAGAGAGGTAACGGGACATTTATTTGAGGGGTAAGGAGAAATAGAAAATATCTGACTGGTTAGAAGAGAAATTGCAAATCCAACTCCTGCAAATCTGCAAGATTATCTTTCAAGTCATTTTTATTTTACTAAGTATGCAATATTCCTTTAAAAAAAATGAACAGACTCTTGTTTTGTATGTGAAAATGTGAAAAAATGATTAACTCTCATTAGGATTGACTTTGTTTTCTTCACAGATCAATAATCCTCTACAGCAGAAAATTCCCCAGTGGCACATTTGAACAGGTCAGTCACCTGATAAATGAAGTTGTCTCCTTGACAGAAGCCTGCTGTGCTGAAGGGGCTGACCCTGAGTGCTACGACAGCCGGGTAGGTTTCCATGACTGGCCCTGTCAACAGTGGCTCAGAAGAGAAAGATGAGGAGCCAGAGAGAGGGTGCAGTGGGAAAGGGGCTGACCTTTGTGTAGCTCAAATATTTATTTTTATGAAATCTAATATGCAAAAGGAGAATCAAGAACCCTGGAGTAAATAAAGAGAAACCTAGACTAAAGCCATCAAGAATTTCGTCTTCTTGGAGCCGGAGTGATAGCACAGCGGGTAGGGTGTTTGCCTTGCCCACCACCAACCAGGGTTCGATTCCCAGCATCCCATATGATCCCCTAAGCACCGCCAAGAGTAATTCCTGAGTGCAGAGCCAGGAGTAACCCCTGTGCATTGCCGAGTGTGATCCAAAATGAAAAAAGAATTAAGTCTTCTATTTGAATGAAAGAGGTTCTCCTTCTCAGTGGGGAATTGTAGCAGAAAGCAAGTGGGAGATCAGGAGTTTTTTTCAAGTAACCTCTTACTCTTATAGTTGCTAAAATCACACAAAAAATCCTGTTATTCGTCGATTGCCTCGAGCAGGCCCCAGTAACGTCTCCTTCATCCTAGCCCTGAGATTATATTCAAGGCTCTTTAGGAGAATGAGACCCATCATTGTTACTGGTATTTGGCATATTGGGTACGCCACGGGAAGTTTGCCAGTCTCTGCTGTGTGGGCAGGCTACATTCGGTAGCCTGCCAGTTTGTCCAAAGTAGGAATGAGATAATAAGATGTCATAATAAGATGTTATAATAAGAAGGCGGCATTCACGGCCGCACGGTTCCGGGATCTGGTTTTTATAGTCTCTGAGTCTTGGCCGCTGATGGGATTACACGGCGCCAGTGGGTCAATTGGTGGGTGTGACCCCCGCCTACTGGAATTTGGAGGATCTGGGTGGAGGATGATCGGCCCTGATCCGAGTAGGCTCGGAGATCTCGGCCCCGGAACCCGCATGGCTTTGTCCCTCTGCCAGTACCTTCATGTGTGCGGAGAGTGGTCTCAGCATGGTGGTGGCTGGTCCTGGAGGTCTTCGGCTGCCAGAGCCCTGGTCGGGGCGGGGAGGAAAGCTCAACCTGCTGCCCTCCAATGGGCTCTGGCGAGGACAGTCAGGCACGGGGGCAGGAGATTGCACTGTTCTCTTCTGGGAGCTGGTTTTTAGTCTCTGAGTCTTGGCCGCTGATGGGATTACACGGCACCAGGGGGCCAGGTGGTGGGTGTGACCCCCGCCTACTGGAATTTGGAGGATCTGGGTGGAGGATGATCCGCCCTGATCCGAGTAAGCTCGGAGATCTCGGCCCCGGAACCCGCGTGGCTTTGTCCCTCTGCCAGTACCTTCATGTGTGCGGAGAGTGGTCTCAGCATGGTGGTGGCTGGTCCTGGAGGTCTTCGGCTGCTGGATCCCTGGTCAGGGCGGGGAGGAAAGCTCAACCCGCTGCCCTCCAACGGGCTCTGGCGAGGACAGTCAGGCGCGGGGGCAGGAGATTGCACTGTTCTCTTCCGGGAGCTGGTTTTTATAGTCTCTGAGTCTTGGCCGCTGATGGGATTACACGGTGCCAGGGGGCCAGTTGGTGGGTGTGACCCCCGCCTATTGGAATTTGGAGGATCCGAGTTGCTAAAATCAGTTTGGATAAATACCCGGGCTGGAGGATTTAACTTCTAATGGATGTAATCAAACATAGTCCAAAAATTAATGAAGGTGCTATTTTTTGTTCTATTCTAAGGAGATTCATTTATTAACATAAATAAGACCCTACCTTGCTTATAACTATAATTAAGCAACATGTCATGTTCACAAGTCATCATATGGAGTGTTGGCATGGGTTAGTTTTTTACAAATGAGAATTTTAAAATTAAAGTCTAATTAAAGATATACCAGAAGGAAAGGGAGGACAGTAAATGTCAATTGTATAGTGATGGATATAAAATAGCCTTTTGGTGGCAAACAATGCAGTTTTTATATATATATATCTATATTCCCATATTCCTGGGATTCTATATAATGTTATGAACCAATAATAGTACTTGAATAAAATGAACTACTAAGATATTATTATGAGAAAGCTAGAAATTTGATGAGTAGATTTCCTTTTTCTTCTCTCCTTTCTAGACCTCAGCATTGTCTGAAAAGTCCTGTGAAAGTGATTCCCCATTTCCAGCGCATCCAGGAACCTCCGAGTGCTGTGCCAGCGAGGGCCTGGAGCGAAAGCTGTGCATGGCTGCCTTGAAGCACCAACCACAAGAATTTCCGACTTATGTGGAACCAACAAATGATGAAATTTGTGAAGCATTCAGGAAAGATCCCAAGGGATTTGTTGAGCAGTAAGTGAGCTTTTATCAGAAATAAAAACCTAGGACAAAGAATATCAGAGATGTGGTGATATATATCTCCTCCACACTGATATATACACACTCTCCCACAAACACAATATATATGTGTATATACACATATATATTTTTATATATGTTTAATATATATAAAACACCTGTTCTATTGCAATTTGGACAACTCTCAATAACAAAAAATTTCACTCACTCAGTACAAACTATCTCTGTCAGTGCAGATTATTATAAATGCTTTTCTTAAACAAAATCAACTTTCCTACATCCCAGTCCACTCATATTATCTGAAGCAGAATTACTTTAGTGGTTTAGTCTCCATATGATATTTTCAAATGTTTGACAGCAGCTATTATGCTTCTCCTTATGCCAAGAATTTTTTGCATACTCTACATGATATTTAAAATATGCACAGCAACAAAATTCTAGTTTCCACTAAAGCATAAGAAATAGTGTTTTCCTTTCATTCCTCCAGAGCACCCCTAGAAATGTTTATGAATGTGAAACATGTTATATAGCATAAATTAGCATATTACTTCGATCTCATTGTTTAAAATTCATGAGGAGTCGTATTCATAAAGAACCAGGCAAGACTTGTGCAGAACCAAATTGATGAAGCAACAGATTGTAAAGTAATATTCATTAGGAGGTAGATCCACAAGCAATTCTGTATATTAGTCTTAGAATATTATAAAATAAAAAAGTAGACATACAAATAATAGTAAACAGAGGAAAAGAGCAATGTCATTCAAACTGACTTTAATAGTATGAAACTATTGACTTGATAAAAATTGGTTGACTTGCCATTATAGTGCATTTCCACAGGATTTTCTAAGAGTTTAGTCTCTCAAACCTTTAGGGACTAAGAAGAATAAACTAAAAAGAATAATTAAATATATACTTCGGGGTCAGAGCGATGATACAGTTGGTAGGGTGCTTGCCTTGCACAAAGCCATCTGGGTTCAATCCCTGGCATCCCATATTATCTCGAGCCTGCCAGGAGTGATCCTTGAGTGTTAAGCCAGGAGTAATCCCTAAGCACTGCTAGGTATGGCCCCAAAACAACACAAAACAAAAAACTGTATACTTAACAATTATCTGGAATAATTAATTGAGGTAAGGGGAAGGAAATCTACCATATTTACTTTCATGTGCTCAATTATATAAGCAGTTACTTTGGGCCATAAAACTTGCAAACCCTAAATAAACAAAAATACAAATGACTCATTTCTCAAAGAAACCACCAGGGTATTAGAGAAACTGATATTTAATGACAGCATTGATGACAAATAAATAGCATTAAATCCCTTTCTCTAAATCCTTGATGTTTTTCAACATCAATATTTCACATGAATAATTATAAATAGTAAAGCTATAAATTAGCAAACAGACATCCTCTTAGTTGACAGTTTCTGACAAATGTTTTAACCATTTCTGTTATTGTTTCCTACAGATTTCTGTATGACTATTCTATTAACTATGGACAAGCTCCTCTGCCACTATTAGTTGGTTATACCAAGACTTATCTCTCAATGGTAGGGTCTTGTTGTGCCTCATCAAGTCCAACTATATGCTTTTTGAAGGAGGTAGGTATCATTTTATTCATTCCATATAATTTTTTTATTTTTTTGTTAATAAATGCCCTTCCTTTAAATACTGATAGAAGCTAGGATTCTGTTATCAGTACATTTCTGAAAGCTCTATTTTGCTTTTTGTTGATTGCAAAAATAAATACACTACCTCTAGAAAGTATCAATATAGTCCTTTGGTGATAATTCAGTTTTCTAATAAAAACTGATTTGTTTTGACAGAGACTGCAGATGAAACATTTATCACTTCTGACTACTATGTCAAATAGACTTTGTTCACAACATGTTGCTTATGGGGAGGAGAAATCAAGACTCAGGTAAAAATTAAGCACAATCAGCATGTTTATATATATTTGTTTTATTTTTACTACTCATAATATTAGTATTCTTAAGATATAATTATAGTTTTATGCTGTAGTAACACTCTTAATTGTAGCTCAGCATTTCTTCTCTATACGGAGTATGAGCAATAGGATCAAGACTAGATTATAAAACTCGAGATTTGCCTTTAATCAATTTTTTATGTTTATTCATTACTTAGGAAATTTATAAAACCACTAGAAACTATTTCCTCTCTTTTTACATAGTATAATACAACCACAAAAGTGAAAGCAAGATGTTGTTTAGTCACCTATTATTTGCTTTGCCCATTATTTTCTTGGCATTAAAATTCCCAATTTATTGGGACCAGAGTGATAGTACAGTAGATATGGTGACTTGCCTTGTATGCAGGCAATTTGATTTTGATCCCAAGCATCTTAGGTGGTTGCCTGAGCACTTCCAGGAATGACTCTTAGGAGTACCCCTGAGAACCATAGGATGTGACTCAAAATTAAAAATCTTGAATTATTATTTAATATATAGAATCAAGTCAACAGAGGTATAAAGAAAATGTGGTACATATACATATATAGAATAAATATAGATAGTAAATACTCAGCTATTTGTTTTTAAAAATAAATCCCTGGCACCACATAACCTAGGGACCAGGAGATAATAGAGTGAATAGGACGTTTGCCTTTTTGATCCCTGATATGGTCTCCTGAGCTCCATCAAGAGTGATCCCTGCTTACAGAGCCAGGGTAAGGCCCGAGCACTGCCAGGTGTGTTTCAACAACCCCTTGCCTCTCTTACTATTTGCAACAACATGGTCTAACCTTAAGGCTATTATGACAAGTAAGAAAGAAACACATATAGATTCATTAATGCACAATATGGAAAAACAAAATAAATGAAAAGATAGACTCTGCATAGAAACGTATTGGTGGTTATCAGAGTAGAAAGAATTTGGTGGTGAATAAATTGAGTAAAGGAAGTCAGTTGTGGAGGGATGAGTACTTGATCATTGTATAACTGAAACCCAAGCACAAAAATTTGTAAGTCTATAACTGTACCTCTTGGCGTTTCACTAATAAAAAAAATTTAAAAAAACAAAAACAAAAAAAAAGAAAGTCAATTGTATAGTGAGGAATGTAAACTGGACTTTTGGTGCTAATTGTTGACATATTGTCAATGATTCTAATCATTGACATATATCAAATTATAATATGTACCTAAAACCTTTTATAAACCATCATTACCTTTCAAAAAAGGGCAGAGAATTTGAATAGATATTTTATATAACTATTTTCTATTTTTCTTCAATTAATATCATTTCTTTTAAATGAGAGAAGTTTGGATTCTGTTATTGTATGTTTCTAAAATGTCTATTTTTCTTTTTGTTAATTAGAAAAATAAATATACTGCCTTGGAAAGTAGATAAAGGACCAAACATGATAACCTCTCAGTTTCTGTATTGCAGACCATAATGCCCAAAAGTATAGAGAGATTACGGGGAATAATGTCTGCCATGGAGGCAGAGGGAAGGTGGAAAAGGCGGGAGGGTATACTGGGGATATTGGTGGTGGAGAATGTGCATTGGTGAAGGGATGGGTGTTTGATCATTGCGTGATTGTAACCAAAACTTGAAAATTTGTAACTATCTCATGGTGATTCAATAAAATTAAATATATATGTATATTGCCTCTGAAAGTATCAATATGCTCTTTGGTTTCAGTTTTCTAATAAAATAGCTTTTTTTGTCCAAAGAAAACAAATGGTAAATATGTATACAAGCATATGTTTATATAATATATAATATACAAGCATATGTTTAATGTTTAATATCATTCAAATGCAAATTCAACTCATGGAACTTCACCTACTATCAGTTAGAAGTGATCAAAAAAAAAAAAGCCCAGAAAATGAGTATTTGCAAGGATGAAAAGAAAAGGAATGAATTGATAAAGACACTGAGTAATACAAATACTCCAAAATAGTATTCAGCCATAAAAGTGATTCTTGTCCTCTTCTACAATATAGATGGAACTTGAGGGCATTATGCTAAATTCAGTAAGCTAGAAAATCAAAAATTGTGTGATGTTTTTCATAAATGACTTAACAAAATTTGAAAGTTCTAAAATGTTTAAGGCTTACTTCAACTAAATATATTCACTGGTGATATTAAATGAGCAGTGGCTTTGTTACAAAGTCTCCATCATGCAGTAAATATGCCACACACAGTTGAGTATAGATCTGGAAGTATAATATTGTTCTTTTAAACCAGTGTTACCCAAAGTGGGAGACATGATATGGCCCCTGCGTGGAGGTAGGGAGTTGGAGCAATGGTTAGTAGCCTCAGGCGCAATTGGTAAGCTTGTGTCTGCTTATGATAAAGAAGAGAGATTTCTAGGGGTGAGGCACTGATCTTTTTTTTTGGCGGGAGGTGGCGGCCAAGGGGACCCAAGTGTTATTCCTGGCTCTGCACTCAGAAATTATTCCTGGCAGTGCTCAAAGTATCATGTGGGATGAAGGAGACTGAACTCAGGTTGGCTGCCTGCAAGACAAATGCCCGACCCACTGTACTATCGCCCTGGCCTCAGCCACTGATCTTTTGTTTAAATAGTGGTTGTTAAGCTAAATAAGTTTGCAAGCCTCTGTTCTAGACAGTATGTTCAAATGAAACCAAAGAAAAACTGAGGGCGTGTGTATGCTAACAAAATTCATTTTTAACTCTTTAGCCATCTCATAAAACTAGCCCAGAAAGTTCCAACGGCTGATGTGAAAGACGTGTTGCCACTAGCGGAAGATATCACCAGAATCCTTTCAAAGTGCTGTGAGTCTACATCTGAGGACTGCATGGCCAAAGAGGTAAGACTGTCTGCCCATGGACACAGGCAGCCAATACAACATGGTATTCTGTTTCTCAATGCGTCATTCCAACACAGCCTCACATTTTTCTAAAGATTAAATACATTAACTTCATTTTACAGATATGAAAACAACTTACAGAGGATTAATAGCTTGAAATTAGTGAACTGCAAAGTCCGCCCATAATGACAAGATTCTGACTTTCAAGACTTTATATTCAACCTACACAGACCACTACATTATCTGGAGTGATAGCACAGCGGGTAGGGCGTTCGCCTTACACGCGGCCAACATGGCCGACCCGAGTTCGATTCCTCCGCCCCTCTCGGAGAGCCCGGCAAGCTACCGAGAGTATTCGATATGCCAGACACAGTAACAACAAAGTCTCCAATGGAGACGTTACTGGGCCCGCTCGAGCAAATCATATGACTAAGTTTAATATAATTAAAACTAGCAAGATTTAGTCTTCTGAACCAGAGTAATAGTACTAGGGCCAAGGCACTTGTCTTGCTTGTGGTTAGTCGTGGTTTCATCCTTGGCACCACATATGGTTGCCTGAGTAGAGTCAGAAGTAGCTCTGACTCAAACACTGTCAATTATATTCCGGCCCCTGCATCCAATTGAGTTCAGTCACAGTCAAAATGCTCAACAGTACTGAGCGGTATAGACACAGGTCATAATCATCAAATACAACTTAAGTAGACAGCACTATGACCACTATACTAGAAACTGCTAATTATATTAGAAATTGCTGTTTCATTATAGCTATTATAATTTGATGATAATCTCAATTGTCCTCACACATTTTTACTTATATAAACTTTGAAAGTAGATATAAAGTTGATCAGTTGCTTTAGTAAAGTTCACTTCAAGTCTAATAGGACTTCCTTAAGACTAGGTACATCATGTTACTTAGTCTTTTTTGCATTGATACATTTCTATGATAATAGACTTTTTCATAATATAACCTTTGAACAATAGTTTCCTATTACTTATCATATATCATATTTGCTACACATACAATATTTTTAACTAAGGACTATATGGCCAAAGAGGTAAGACTTTTACTGGATTTATTTCCATTTTCAAATGTCTTAAGCCATGCTGCCATAATAATCTTAAAGCTAAATAGTTCTTTCATTTAGATTTAATTTTTGAGGATCAAATCTTGAAAGTCAAATAATAAATGTTAAGGCTTTTTACCCATTACAAGACATTTTACTCATTTACTCAACATTCATACTAAGTTTCATGTACACCAAAAACAACGTTATATGTTGGATATCAACTCTAATTATTTTTAGGCTTCACCAGTGAATTGCCCCTTTCCTCCTCCCAGAGAAGCTTACCAGGCCCTTGCTAACATGCCTAATTTGGTTAAAGTCTATCTTCAACCTTTCCTTTGTGTTGGATATTGACCCAAAGTGCTTTAGGCTTCATCAGTGAACTGCCCCTTTCTTCATCCCAGAGAAGTTTAGAAGTTTAACATGCCCTTGCTAGCATCCCTAACTTGTATTTTACCTCTCATTGTCACAGTTCCCCAAGTCATTCTTGATTACTTGCAAGCCAAAACTTTCTGGTAATTCTGAACTTGTATTTGTACTGCTTTGTATGTGAAGTGCTTTATATTTGTACGTGCTTTTCTATTTCCCCTGCAGCCTTTTTTTTTTAATTTTACTATAGAGCAATGTTCTTTAGTAAGAAAGACCAGTAATACAATACTCCTAATATTTGGGAGTTGATTGACTCTGAAATATATCTGCTCCTGGGTATAATTACTAGACCATAATTACTCAACTCAGGCTTCAGTTGCTATAGTTCTTAACACCCCAAAAGGGAAGTCCCACCGTGGAACTAGGATGGACCCAGGGCTAGTGGCAAAGTTAACCAGCATTGAAATGGGACATTCTGGAAAGCATAAATGCATGGTCTTGATGCAAGCTATTATAACCTAAGAGACAGGACCCCCATGGGGAAGGACAAGCTGAACTGGCTGAGGACTTACCCTGGAATTTAGAGTAAAAGCCTTGCTTTCTCTCAAAGCTCAGAGAACTAAGTGTTAAAAGTCTTGCTTGCTCTCATCCCAGAGAACTAAGTGTTGGGATCTTTGTCTCTTACTGTGTTTATCCAAACAACTGCAAGTATTGATAAAAGCAATATAGATGTCTCTAAGAGACAGTGTGTCTTTTGGAGTTGATCTCCCCAAGGGAATTTCCTCTGCCAAATATTTATCTCTGTAAATGACCAATCATACCTAGGTCCTTACCTCAACTCCCTTTCAGATGTTCTATAAGTATGCTAGCAACTCTGCATTAAAGGGGACATTTTCACCATCAGACCATGGTCCCCTGTCTCCCCGACTCTGTCTCTCTGTTGGGGAGCCCTGGGGAGGTGAGAAAACAGGGAGGCAGCTCTGGGCCACCAAACGCAATAAGCATCACAACAGCAGCCCCCGTGATTTACTGTGTGAACTCACAATCATAATACTTATTAACAGATGCCTTTTCTCTTTATTCTTAATTATAAGGACAAAAAACTAACAGTATACATTCACAAATTCTCTTACAGTTGCCGGAACACACAGTAAAACTATGCAACAGTTTGTCCAACAAGAACTCTAAGTTTCAAGACTGTTGTCAAGAAACAACACCCATGGACGCCTTTGTGTGCACTTACTTCACACCAGCTGCCCAATCACCAGAAATGCCAGATGCTCAGATGCCTACCAACAAAATTATTTGTGGTAAAGGAAGCACTAAAGCTATGGATCAGTACGTAGCATTCATCTGAACACATTTTTAACAGCTGAGAATTATTCACTAGAACTAAATAATATTCACTAGCATTAAGTGAAAATTACACAGAAAAATTAGTAACCCCTTTCTATTTTTATCAACCTAAGAATCAAATGCACCATGGTTGCATGCACCATCAGTTAAACATACTATGAGCATATACATACTTATGGCATAAAAATATTTCATAAGCAGGGGGGCAGGGAAGGCAGTTCACATGGCTCATGTGCGTGCAGGGATGTCAGGTCAATACTGAGCACCACCAGGAGTGACCATCATTCTTGCTTCACAACAGAAACTTGTCAAAGTTAGCATCCCGGGTACTGCCAGATGGGGAGGCAAAGACCAGCAACATAGTACACTGCCAGAGGCAATTTCAAATACACCGCCTTTCGAATAAGTGTCGAATTTCAAAACATGACTAACAAATTAGTACACATAAAATAGCATCATCTCCTTTCCTCATGCCAGGTATGCCTTTGAACTAAGTAGGAAGACGCATATTCCAGAAGTATTTCTCAGTAAAATACTTGAGCCAACCCTGAAAAGTCTTGGGGAATGCTGCTCTTCTGAAAACCCGACTGCCTGTTTTAACTCAAAGGTACAATTTGTCATGTTTTCTTCACCAACATTGTTTTATCATTTATACAAAGTTTATACCTTGTTTAATATTAATAAGTTTCATTACACAAATATTAAGTTTTACATATGCTCAGTGGGCTGGAGCGATAGCACAGCGGGTAGGGCGTTCCCCTTACAAGCGGCCAACATGGCCGATCCGAGTTCGATTCCTCCGCCCCTCTAGGAGAGCCCGGCAAGCTACGGAGAGTATTCGATATGCCAGACACAGTAACAACAAAGTCTCCAATGGAGATGTTACTGGGCCCGCTCGAGCAAATCGACGATCAACGGGAGGGCCTTTACCTTTACCTTTACCTTTACATATGCTCAGTATTCCAAACATTTCACCAAAACATAGCCATATGGGTTTATTGTTTACAATTACTGCTTTTGTGCTATCATAGCAAGTCAAATAGCCAATAAAGCCTTAAGTATTTACTATATGGTTTTTTGCAAATTTGATAATGTCTGATGTGTATAATAAGAATTAATGCTGATATGTTCCATTTAAGGAATACTCATTTAAGGAATGCTTGAATTGTGTTTTAAGATATGATTTTGCTATGCAATTATTTTCTTACAGGGCCCTCAACTGAAGGAGGAACTATCTTCTTTTATTGCTAAAGGAAAAGAACTATGTGCAGATTATTCAGAAAACACATTTACTGAATACAAGAAAAAGTAAGGGACTGGTTCTGTCCATATAATCAAAATGTATCAATATTAATAGCCTGGTACTTTGATTTGAAAGCAGTTGAAGACTTAAAATGTGATAAGTAAATACTAAAAAGAAGTGAGGTACCATGGGGCAATAGTACAGCAAGTAGGTCGCTTGCCTTGTTCACACTGATTCAAGTTAGATCCACAGCATCCCATATGGTCCCCAAGTACTACCTGGAGTAATTCCTAAATGAAGAGCCAGGAGTAACCCCTAAAGCATCACCAGATGTGGTCCAATAAAACAACAAAAAAGAGAGTTGAAGTACTAACAAAAGACTTCAGTCAAAAGTAGTCAGAATGTAATAGGTGTAAAAAGAAACAGAGTTCTGAAGGAAAATATGTATCTAAGGTAAAAAAATCTATAGACCACAGTTGCATGTATATGTTATAAAGTTCAAGAAGCCAATGTTAAAAAGACAAATGTATTGAGGTTTATTCACCTTCTTGCCCTAAATATGTGAATATCACTATAAATGACTAACTCTAAAACTGCTAAAACATATTATCTAACCTCATTACATATGATTAACATATTAACTGCTTAAAAACTCAAAGTTTCAATCAAGTATAGTATCACCCATCATCACTGTGTAATATCACCCAGCATTATTATGTAAGATCATGAAATTAAAAATACAAATAATCATTGTTCTACAATTAACATTTTTCTCAAATAGAAATATTATTTCTTACAGATACTATCACCAAAATAAATAGGTTATAATAAAAAGCGGTTTTACTGGGTTCCTGAAAAATATCTTTTATGAGTAGACAATGCCATTTAAAAGCATTTTAGATCGATTTTATTTATTTTTGTTTTTTATTAAATCACCATGAGATACACAATTACAAAGCTGTTCATGGTTGGTTTCAGTCATACAATGTTCCAACACCCACTCCTCTACTAATGTATATTTCCCACCATCAGTATCCCCAATTTCCCTTTTAAAAATATTTTCCCAAATCGGACACTTCCTTTAGTGACCTTTATGCAGTCAAACATAGGAAACGTGTGAGAGAAATAAAAACAAAGCTATAAAATTCTTAAATTCAAAATTGTTATTTCCAAGTTGCCAGAAAAGTATTCAAATGTATAATGAACATAATACTATGGAGGCTGTATAGAATAATCCTAAACATATCATTCATGATTAAGTTTTCTGCCAACAGTTTTGAATTCTAGGATTGCATGAGACATTTGGGTGAAATTTTATGTAATCTCAATTTCAGAGGAATGTGTTAGAATTAGCCTTTAGTTTTATGAAATTAAAGAAGATTGAGATTATTGAATCCAGAAATTTACCATCCTTTTCCCCTTTCGCTCTATTATCTGTGTTACTTTTAGCCTGGCTTTCCTCCCCTTCCAACTGGGACCAGAATTATTTCCATAAGGCTTGAGATCAATATAAGTTTCCCTAAGCCAATTACTCCCTTTTTAGGATTCCACCTTGTCAAGATCAACTCAGAATAAATTTGTGACCACCCTATTTCCCATTACCTATTAATGTGCTGGAAATTATTTCTTGAATACAGTAAAACTGATTCAAGTTGTCCATTATGAGGGCAACATTTACCAAATCAATTTGTGAAAGAATCAAAAGAATTCAAGTTGTAGTACCAACTTCAAAGTTAGATGGAGAATGAACTAGTGGTAAAGTAAATACTAGTGACAAAATTTTCTGCTAATAATTTCAATGTCTTACATCATAAATAGGTAAGAAGCAGGTAAGCTGAGGGGAAAATGTATAAAATATAAAAGAAGAGGAAAAGCATTAATATGGCATTTAGTTCCATAAGGTAAATAATATTTAAGGAGTTTAGAATCTAGAGCTAGGGAAAAGCTAGAAAGTTAAGAGAAAATAGAAGTACCCAGGTATGTTGAAATAATTGGGTGAGTGAATAAATAAGAAAGTCAAGAATTCAAATCCAACCCCAATTTGTATGTTACCTTACTTTTATATCTCAAACTGAGTCACACACAGAAAATCAAAATCATTCCACACATAAGATTTTCTTGTCAAAGATAAGTACTTTTAATGTCATTGTATTTATAAAAGAGCTAAAGTGGCTGTTATTTTGCATTGGCTATTGTGTTTAAAATTCATCTAGTAGAACTTTACATTACAATGGTCTTTCAGATTGGCAGGACGATTAAGAGCAAAATTGCCTGATGTCAGTGATTCAGAACTTGAAGAGCTGGTTGACAAACGCTCAGACTTTGCCAGCAAGTGCTGTTCAATGAACTCACCTCCTCTCTACTGTGATTCACAGGTAAGAAAATTTAACTCTTGACATGTGACTGCACCTTATTTTAAGCACATGAACTCATATTTATATTTACTTGTAACTGAAATGTCATTATGTGCAGTCTGCCTATTAATATTCAACTTTTATTCCATGTCATGCCAATTTTAAAAGTAGATTAAAGTCTTCGCTGAACTTATAAAATTTTGCTAACAAAATGGTTTATGAATACAAGCAGCAAAGTATAAGTGAAGCAATTTTTTTGCAAACCAGAAGTTTCAACGTGTTACCATCTTAACAGCACAGAACAATCTGAGGAAAAGATCAGCAAATCCACACTCCTCTATAAATAAACAGAGTAACAATAAGTAATGCGGAAATAAAAATAAGCACAGATTTTTACAATGTGCAATGGAATAGGATTCAGAGCCCAAGAAATAAATCCTCACATTACAGAGACAGAGAACATAATAAAGGAGTCATAAACACAAAATGAAGGAATGCCTCTTCAATAAATGTTCCAGGAAAAAAAATGAAATACTACATGCAGAGGAATAAAACTAGATCACAATCTCATGCCATGCACAAAAGTTAATAAAAATTGATTAAAAATTTGGATCTTAGGACTCAGAGACATAGTACACTGAGTAAGGCTCTTGCCTTACATGCTGCCGATCCCCAACATCCCATTTGGTCCCAGAGCCTACAGAGAGTGATTCCTGAGTACAGAGCCAGGAGTAACCTCTGAGCACCGCCAGATGTGGCCTCAAAACAAACAAAGAAAAAGCTGGGTCATAAAGTGAAAATGTAAGATTCACTGAATTAAAAATAGGCAAAATGTCGTATAGTATTACTTCTAGTAGTGTCTGCAGGGATCTGGCATCAGCAAATAGGACCACATCAAACTGAAAGGCTTCCGCATAGACAGAAGAATTTGCCGTTTAAATAGAAAACATCCTATTACATGGGTGAAAATATTCATACATCTGACAAAGAACTAATGTCTAAGAAATTTAAAAAAAAATCAAATAAAAAAAGGGCAGAAGGGCTAAGGAGGCCCTTTACCAAAGGAGATATAGATGACCAGCAAGTACATGAAGTAGCAGGAAAACACAAGCAAAGACTACAGTGAGGTGTAGGCTGTTCTTTCAGGTGTGAGATGTCATCAAAAAATTAAAAACCAGAAGCTTAAGGAGGTGAAAAGTGACTTTATCTAGTCCATGTGTAGAAAACATTATGAAGATTTTTCTGATCTCTCTCATATGTGGCATTCAAATAAACAAAGCAAAAGAGCAGACAAAGTCAAATAAAGAAATCTTTGGACTCTGATGAAGAACTATTCGCTGTAGCTGGAGCTATAGTATAGCGGGTAGGGCATTTGCCTTGCACTCGGTCAACCAGGGTCAATTCCCAGCGTCCTATATGGACCCCCGAGCACCGCCAGGAGTAATTCCTGAGTGCAGAAGCAGGAGTAACCCCTGTACATCTCTGGGTGTGACCCAAAAAAGCCAAAAAAAACCCCAACTATTTGCAAAATAACAGGAAGAGGAATGAACAGGCCACAATGGACTAAAAGATATTGATACTCTGGGGATGAGCTTGATAGGATAATATATCATTTCAAGAGGTGTAAAATTGGTTTCCTGAAACATTTGCAATCTTGTTAACCAACATTACCAAGAAAAATAAGAATATATGAGAAACAGAGTCTGTTTCATCTAAGTGAGAGAAAATACTTTGTAAACTTTATTTCACACATGTAGATGCATATGGATATAGGATCAATAGGCAGAATGTATGGTTTAATTAATTTTTCTCAGGGCATTTCAATCGTAGTTATAAATGTTTGCTTCATCACAAAGATATACAGCTGAAGAGTGAAGAGTTACTGAAGGTCACAAATGTATTTCTAAATATTAGAGAACTTAATGATAAAATGCAGATTCATTTAATTTTTTTCTTTTAGACATTCCAATTTACTTCAAACAAATGATAAGGAAACTGAAAATCTTATAGATCTTTTGTTTCCCATCTTATTATTATTTTTTCTTACTATTTTAAATTTTGACGTTCATTTTTTTCTCTTTCTGTAATGGGGGGATTCTGCAGGCAATTCCAGGGTGTCCAGTATTAATCCCACTAGACAGTTAAGTTCAGGTCCAAGAACAAGGAACACAAGGGCCACGGCAGGGTACCTGAAGACCACAAGGGTCATATCCAGCAGTGCTTGGAACTTCAAGGATGCTCAGGGGAACTTGCACTACTGGGCATCTAAAGGGTAGGAAACATGCATTATAACCCCTCTATTATCTCCATGTCAACTTGGGTTCATATTTCTTTAAATGTAAATGCTTCTCCAAGTCAATCTTTTCCCTCCCCCATTCTAATTCTCCTGTACCCATCTATCCTCCTCTTTCTCCCTTAGAAGCATTTGCACGTTGCCAGATCTTTTTATTTGCTTTTTATATTGCATGAGTATTTCACTGCCAAATTTAAAAAAATATTGAATCACAGTGAGATACACATTTGCAAGATTATTAATGATTGGGTTTTTCTACCACCCCATTGTTAAATTTTCTCCATGCCCAATGTTCATTTGCAAACATATCTAGCCAACTGAGTTCCAAGTTCACAAAGATTGCACTTTTTAAAATGTTCCTCTTCCTATCTGCATCCTGTTTGAATTAAAGGTTTTTATTTCTTAAATAGTTGGCATCTTACCTATACATAAAAGCTCTGTAAATGCACACCCAGAAATAAATAGTCATCATAACTAGCAACTGTCACTAGCTTTTCACTAAAAAGCAAAACTTTCCCTGGGTCCCCCTACATATTGTCTTCCATGCAGCACAATGGCTGTGAACTTCCAGAATACCTATCACAACACAGTGTGACTGGAAGCTATGTAAGAGACACACCCACCAATAACCAAAGAAATGGGGACATCACACAAAGATCTCTTTCTTAAATACCTCGGTCCTCTGTGTGGGACTGAGTTTGATTTTCTGGTTGGAGCTAATTAGTGTAGTCCCTTATTTCAAATGAGGTGACTGACTTTCTCCTGTAAATCTCATGAGAAGCTGGTACATGGTGACTGATCTCTACATAGAATGAAGATGTGAAAGAATGGAAGAGAAGGGAAGAGTGTCCAACACAGGCTGTCTATTGCTGGACACAGGGCTTTTGACTCTTAATGTTCTGCCAAATGCCTTACACTAAGATTCCTTGATCAGTTCAGTATGTATCCTATTCCACAGAGATGTTTTGTTGGTCTTTCCAGGGAGTCTCCCATCTGTACCTATCTCCCCTTGATCTACTTTTCTCCAGAATAGTTTTAGTTTATTTAAAAAATTCTAAAAAGAAGAACATGTCATTTTACTCTACTACTAAATTGTGTGTATTGGTCCACAACTTTTGCCTTATCCAAACCATTTCTGGGATAGAGACTAATCATTAGGTTTTAGAATGATTAGTTGCCAAACCAAAAATGTTTTTCTACCTTTACTCAGCTCACCTCTGTCTGAAAATCATGTTGAAATTTGGACCCCTCTTGCACTCTGGCAGAGATGCTGAAATTTCTTAATTCCTCTAGGAATTTTCCCTTGGCATCCATGTTCTTCTCAACATCCAACTTACACACAGCAACTGACACTTATTACACTTTATTGTCATTTTTCTTGTTTACTTTTGCTAAACCATAATAAGATCTTCAAGGAAAAGAATATAAAACTAAAAATTTTGAAGAATAGTCCATAAAAAGTTTAATATGAAAACTGCACCTTGACAAGAATCGTTTCCTCTTGAGGTTTCAGTTTTGTCTATATGTTTTATATGACCTAATAGTCTACAAGGAAATACTTTATGAATTTGATGGCATTTTCTTTTTGTTTTAGATTGATGCTGAGATGAAAAATGCCCTGTAGTGTTGGTGCCTGTATACTGTCTTAGGTAAGTATTATTTTTAAAGGCAGAAAAAAATACAGGTCTTATAACATGTTTTATAAATCATAAACTGAGGATATTTCTCAAACTACATATCGTATTATTGACCCAAAGTTATTTTATTTTATTTTTTATATATTATTTATTTTTTTGCTTTTTGTGTCACACCCAGCGATACTCATGGGTTACTCTTGGCTCATGCACTCAGGAATTACTCCTGGCGGTGCTCGGAGGATGTATGGGATGCTGGGAATCGAACCCGGGTCGGCCATGTTGGCTGCGTGCAAAGCAAACGCTCTACCCACTGTGCTATCACTCCAGCCCCTACACAAAGTTATTTTAATAATGAGAAAATATTGGTAAAGGTAAAGGTAAAGGCCCTCCTGTTGATCATCGATTTGCTCGAGCGGGCCCAGTAACGTCTCCATTGGAGACTTTGTTGTTACTGTGTCTGGCATATCGAATACTCTCGGTAGCTTGCCGGGCTCTCCGAGAGGGGTGGAGGAATCGAACTCGGGTCGGCCATGTTGGCCGCTTGTAAGGGGAACGCCCTACCCGCTGTGCTATCGCTCCAGCCCAGGGCGTTTGCCTTGCATGCAGCCAACATGGCCGACCCAAGAAAATATTAAATATTGAAAACTTCGAAGCAACTAGAAGAGATGAGGATTTTACACAAGCATATACAACCAACACCTGACACATATAGGACTAGAATTCAGTTCTCCAGATGGTACACCCTTCTTGGCAACGTCATATCTCAGAAAATATGAGTAAATATAATAAGGAAGATCACTAGAGACATTTTAATAAATTCAATAAAATAATGTCTTTAAACACAGGAACTGGCAAGTATTAAAACAGCATAGTTCTTTTTTATTAATTATTATGAGCATAGTTCTTATCCATCAAACTAAAGCAACATATAAAATACCACTTGCTTCTTTCATGTATTCACTTCCACTCATTTAGCATGCCTTATAAATATATTAGTAACAGTAATTTAACACTTAACACTTAATTTTATGCCTTAAACTGAAGGTGACATTAACAAAAAATTAATTAAAAAACATTTCAACAAAGGGCTGGAGCAATAGCACAGTGGTAGGGCGTTTGCCTTGCGCACAGCCAGCCTGGCCGAGCCAGGTTTGATTCCTCCACCCCTCTTGGAGAGCCTGGCAAGCTACTGAGAGTATTCAATATGCCAAACACAGTAACAAGAAGTCTCAAAATAGAGATGTTACTGGGCCCGCTCGAGCAAATCGATGCATAATGGGAGGACAGTGTTTGTTTGGACAGTTTCAACAAAAATCACTTCAACCCACATACAACTGAATTCATTTTAAAGCTACTACTTCAGAGATTTTTAAAAGATTAGGAAATAATGGATTTGTATTCTCTAAGACCCTAATTGAACTTCGGCTTTTTAATGATAAAAATCTTTTAGGGGAACCAGAGAGATAGTACGGTGGAAAAGGCACTTGCCTTGCCCATGGCTAACCCCATTAAATTCCTGAAGCCCCATTTGACCCCCAGCCCATCAGGATTGGTCCCTGAGCACAAAGCCAGGAGCAAGCCCCAAGTATAGCCAGGGTGACCAAAAAGTTGAAAAAAATAAATATTTAAGTTTTATTTATTTATTGAAAAAATTATCTGGAATTATATAGAAACAAAAGCTACTAACTAAAGAAATTAAGTCTTTTTTAAATTTATGTGTTCAACTCACAACTATTTCAATTATCTGTGACTGAAAAAAATGAAAAATTAACTCTTATGATTCAGTACAAATGGAGGGGTAATAGAGACTCATATTTTGAATCACCCATTCTGAATTAAATCCCTAATTAAGATGTCTTTGTGAACGTGAGCAACTTATTTCTATACTATAAATATTAGGATTTTCTATAAAATATAAATCACACAATATATGTCTCATCATCATTGTGATATAAAAAGTTATGCTGCATATAGAAGTGTCTAGGAAAACTGTTTTGTTTTATAAAGAAAAACAGAAATCTTTACAAACTCCTTGGTGTTGTTTCTAATGAAACTAAGATGGAGTAAGCTTCTCATCAATATGTTCTTATATCAGAATTGATGTGTCCTAAACAGAAAGCTCTCTGAATAATTTCTGACGAAAAAAAATGTCAAATTCTGAGTTGCCTTCGGTGTAAATATTCTACATTTAAAATACTCTCTGGTTTGTATGGCTATACTCTGCTCCTCTATATTTCTTTAATTAGAAGGCATTTTGGGAAATGGCCATTCATGTATAATCTTTCAGGCTATAAGAGAATAACTTGCAATTGGAGAGAAAATTCTATGAAAGAGTAGGAAACAGTAAATTTTGTAGATTGTGAGGGGTTTTTTTTGTTTTGTTTTGTTTTGTTTTGCTTTTTGCTTTTTGGATCACACCCAGTGATGCACAGGGATTACTCCTGGCTCATGCACTCAGGCATTACTCCTGAAGGTGCTCGGAGGACCATGTGGGATGCTGGGAATCGAACCCAGGTCGGTCGAGTGCAAGGCAAATGCCCTACCCTCTGTGCTGTCACTCCAGCCTCAGATTGTGAGTTTTTTGGAGTTGTTTTTTTTTGTTTTTGTTTTTGTTTTTGTTTTTTTATTAGTGAAACACCATGAGGCACAAATGTAGACTTACAAATTTTTGTGCTTGGGTTTGAATTATACAGTGTTCGAGTTCCCATCCCTCTACCAGCGCCCATTTTCCACCATCACTGGTCCCTATATCCCTCCCACCCTCCATCCCCCTCATCCCACCCTGCCTCTGTGGCAGGGCATTCCCTTTTGTTCTCTCTTTCCTTTTGGGTGCTGTGGTTCTGTGGTTCACAAAAGAGTCATTAAGTGGCAATCATGTTCGGTCTATAGTCTACTTTCAGTGTGCATCTCCCATCCTGGGAGGATCCTCCCAACACCCTTCATTTGGTGCTCCCTTCTCTATCTGAGCTGCCTTTTCCCCTAGCATGTGCAGCTGGCCTCCAAGCCATGGAGTGAACCTCCTGGTACTTATCTCGGCTATTTTTGGATTGTGAGTTTTTTAACCTAACAACTTTCATAAACGCTTTTACCACAGAGTTAACTGGTGAACTCAATTTTTCAGTGTCTGGTTATTCTGATTCCTGTCATTACCTTTATCTTTTGTAATGTTTTAGTAATTTATCACCACTCACTAATTTTCTTAAGGAATAAATAGTGATTCATTTTCTGTGTCCTCCAATTGTCTGACCACACAATACATTTATCTGGAAATAGTTTCTAAATTTATTCACATAGTACTTCCCTAACAACGTGTTTTGATTAGAGCTGATTTTATGTGCTACTAATAAGGCAAATTAAGATTAAAACCATATTTTTTAGGAGTAGTTATGACGCTGAAAGAATAAACTATATCTTGTTCACCGTCACTGTCACTGTCCTCCCGTTGTTCATCGATTTTCTTGAGCGGGCCCAGTAACGTCTCCATTGGAGACTTTGTTTTTACTGTGTTTGGCATAACGAGTACGTCACGGATAGCTTGCCAGGCTCTGCCGTGCGGGCGAGATACTCTCAGTAGCTTGCCGGGCTCTCTGAGAGGGGCGGAGGAATCAAACTCGGGTTGGCCATGTTGGCTGCATGCAAGGCAGACGCCCTACCCGCTGTGCTATCGCTCCAGAACACCTGATATGCAGAGATATTTCAACCTAATGTTTCACTAGGTTATCAGAACATAGCCAGATGAATGTGGTTCTTGTATTTCATAGAGACTTTCTAAAACTCTGCAAAACAAGCCTGGATTCCCTCAATTTTGGCAGCATTGTCCTAAACCATTGTTCTAGTAAAGACCTGCTCTGGACCTAGGACTTTATTTTAAACTTAGTACTGAGAACACTTCCATTCTACTCCCACAAAATATTACCAGGTTGCTCTAGGAGATATTCATGTTCTCCTTTTCTCTTACTGCAGAAATGACTTGTAATTAGGGCTAGAGCAGTAGAACAATGGATAGGGTAAATGCCTTGATAATTACTAGTCCCCTTGATCAAGTTACCAAAGTCCCAAAATTGGCTGAAGCCAAATTAGAATGTCCCCTTGGGAAGACAATTGCTTTGTCTCTTAGAAATTCTATAAAGATAATTTTTATTTCCTTAAGTTTTATAAACAATGTCTTCCCTTGTTGCCAACACGCATGGGAGTTGTATTCTAGAATAAGATTAAACAGAAAGTACTTTAAACACTAGAATCATAACCAAATACAGCCAGATGATTACAGTATGAGGGAAAATTAGAAATGACTCTGAGTGAGGGAAACACAGTTATATCTCCCATCTTGTCCTCAACCCAAGACAAAATCAGTCATTGATGTTCATAGTGTCTTAGGAAAGAAAATCATCCAGCAGGATATTCATTTGTCACAAAACAAGGGAGAATGTGATTTGACAAAAACTCAATGTTTTTACACAGCCAGAAAATAGAACTGAAAATGAAATGACAACACCTTGACCCTGTATTGCAAAACAGATTTCCAAACAGGATGTAAAGGTTAGAGAGAGGGGGCTCAAGAGGTGAACTAGAAGTCACATAAGGACGATGGTGCTAATTTTGGACAATTCTGTGCTGGTAAGGTGTGGTAACTAATCAAGACCATAAGCTTTAAACTTTAACCATGATTTTACATATTATAGTAACTAAAAAAATAAATAAAAAGGAGAGGAGAGGAGGGAAAGAGAGAGGATGGGAAGAGTAAGGAAGAAAAGATAGGGGAGAGAAGGAAGGAGAGAGGAAGGAAAAAAAGGAAGGAAGTGAGAGGGAGATAGGAAGGGAGAAAGAAAAAAGGAAATTTTCAAATTCAGAGATCAGAAAGATTGCCTTGAATAGTGATTTTTTTCGTTTGTTAGGTATGTGAATGATTCTGAAACTTGACATATGTAGTTGTTACTGTCATGTTAGGCTTCTTTAGCATAAACAAAAAATTAGCATAATATTACATACATCTGTTGGACAGTATTATGATTATTGCCTACACTGTTTTGTTTTTCTAACATTTATTTTTATTATTCTCATAATATAGAGTTGGAACCACACCAGGAATGACATCTTAAACCAAAAGAGAACTTCTGAATAAACAACTAGAAAAAAAAATCCCTGCTTTTTATCTACTGCAGTATTATCACACAACAAGAATAATGATTTGCTGTAGAAATAAATTGAAATACAATGAAAACCATAAATGATACTGAGGGTGATATTACCTTACTGATCTTTAATCCTGTTTCAGTTATTTGTAACACTCTACAATAGGTAACTACAACCTGCATGATTTTTTTTCTAGACTTTCTTGTTTGGTGACTTAATGATTCTTAACAATACACAGTCACTTTACAATCCCCAATGCACTCATTTCCATCCTTTGATTGCTTCTCATGCTTTATAGATACTATTAAGGGAAAGGTCAGCCAGTCTTCTTCTATGAATAATTGGGATGACCCATTTGAAAAAAAAAAAAAACCTCAAAATATGTTCTTGCTCCCTGTTACAGGATGTTTAATATTAATTAAACATCTGTTTCAATTAAGTAGCATCTGTTTTGCAATAAAGAAAGTTCTTGTGGTCAAAACCATTTAATTTTGCTAAAAATTGCTCCTCAGAGCAATTTATTGATGCCTTTCTAAATCCTTATGATTTTAGCTTAATTCAGTTTACCACGTGCTCACCTTATATGATATTCTATGAAAACAATGAAAAACAAAAGTGGTCTAATGAACTCTTTTTGTCTAGAAAGATATTATCAGAATAAATCTCTCTGAAATTAATACAAATCAAGGGGAAAATTCTATGTAATTAATTGCTCCAAGAAATTTTAGTTATCTCAGTGGGTATAAAATTATATAGTTGAGATGGAGTATATTTTATAGCAAATCTGCTGGAGTCACAAGAATTAAAATCCTCCCTGGTCATTTCTCCAGAGAATCACCAGACAGAACATTTCATTATTAAAGCTATGTCAGGGAGGTAGGAAATAACAAGGCTTCTGGGAACAAGGCTAGGAAATAATAAGGAAAAAACAAGGCTGCTCAGAACTAAGGGAAAAATGCCCGATCTCTCCCAACTTCTGTAACAGAAGATGGAGCTATGTATCCTATAAAGACCCATAATGGGAAATTATCCTCAGATAAACATCTTCAGAAGCCCTGAAGTTAAAAAACAAAAAAGGTAACAACCTATTAAGCACACACACATTATATATATATATATATATATATATATAAATGCATAAAATGAGGCCCCCATAACCATGCCACCGGACTCCATGCCAGGCTGTTTTCACTGGGGGCACCCTGGGAGAGAGGGTGAAAGCCCTCGCCACCCCAAGGAACGCAGCCCAGTAGCCCACCTCCTCTACCTGGTCCTGCCACACTCCAGGTTGCTTTCCACATGCTCGGGCCGATCCTCACGCTCTTCTTCTGTGAGTGAAGTCTCACAGAAACCAGGTAATGCAGAACCTTGTGACCTTGGACTCTTGGACTATGGGCCTCACATATGAGTGAACATATTCTTAGACTGCACGACACATCATGACACTCCCAACCCATTTTCCATAATTACCACACCATATTTGATGGGGTTCAGACAGCAGGCAACAAATCATAGAGGGAAATATATATATTTCCTATCGGAGAGCCCGGCAAGCTACCAAGAGTATCTCGTCAGCACAGCAGAGTCTGGCAAGCTCCTCCTGGCGCGTATTGATATGCCAAATACAGTAACAATAGTGGGTCTCATTCCCCTGACCCTGAAAGAGCCTCCAATATGGCAGTGTTGGGAAAGACGAGTAAGGAGAGGCTGCTAAAATCTCAGGGCTGGCATGAATGGAGATGTTACTGGTGCCTGCTCAAGTAAATCAATGAAAAACGGGATGACAGTGATACATATACATATTCCTTACCAGCAAGAACATATTTTGAGGGGTTTTCATTTCAAAAATTACCTTACTTTTATAAAATTTATGAAAGTGCCTATCTCTCAAAAATACATTCACAAATTAAAAGTATAAACTACTACAAACTGGTTCATTTTAGTCAAGCATTTTTATCCATGAGCAGATAGACTCAGGCACTTGTTAAATACTAAATCATCAAAATACGTTCCATGATTGGTTAAGATAGTGTTGCAGTAGTCTCTACACGTATATTTTACAATAAATTTTAAATAACTTTTACCATTTTTATATTAAGATTTGTGGACCAAAACATTCCATAATTTTAGTACGAGAGTTTTAATTTTAGGCATTATAAGTGTAACTACACTGCCATTTGTAGGAAGCAGAGATATTTTGAGAATGTATTGCCAAAAGATGAGACTTTTCTAAGTGCTTCCCAGAATGAAAGAAGTGATTTTGAATTTTTACCTATTATCATTTATAGCTGACATTATCAGCTTATGTCTCCTCCATAAGTAGATCTAAATTATTTTATACCCTCAAAAAGTAATTTAAAAATATATCCATGGGCCTTCACCGTGTTAGAAAAAAGCAAACAAAAATCTATGAATTTCTCAGAACATTTACAAGCTGTATCAGTTCTCTAAGAAATAAAACAGACACAGATATATAGATTCTTTTTCTTTCTTTCTTTTTTTTTTTTTTTGGATCACACCCAGTGATACACAGGGGTTACTCCTAGCTCAGGCACTCAGGAATTATTCCTGGTGGTGCTAGGGGAGACCATGTGGGATGCTGGGAATCAAACCCGGGTTGGCCGCGTGCAATGCAAACACCCTAACCTCTGTGCTATCGTTCCAGGCCCTGTATAGAGTCTTTTAAGAAACTGACTTACAAGGTCATATAATTGTAGAGCTGGCAGGCTTGGATTTCATAAAACAGGCCAATAGGCTGCAGCCTCTGTGCTGTAACTGAGATAGAATTCTAGAATTCTTCTCTGGGATGCCTGATCTTACCTTTAAGTCCTTCCGCTCATGGCTAAAACCCATGCATACCATCAGGGCTACTCTGCTATGTTAAAAGTAAGCTGACTACTATAGGATATTAATCACTTCTACAAAATACTATATCTAAGCTAATGGTAACTAAGCTACCGGGCATATAGGCTCGCCAAATCAAACATAACATCTAGGGGCTCGAACGACAGTCCAGAGGGTAGGGCATTTCCCTTGCATGCAGCTGACCCAGTTTTGATCCTCAGCATCCCATGTAATTCCCTGAGCTCTGCCAGGAGTGATTCCTGAGTGCAGATCCAGGAGTAATCCCTGTGCATCACCGAGTGTGACTCAAAAAGCCAAATAAATAAATCACATCCAGTCATTGAAAAGTCTTTGTATTAGTTTTGTTGTCTTTTGCAAGATTGTATTTTTTTCAAATTGCATTACAAATTTCCCATGTCTTTCTGGATTTCTAAAGCATCCAACAAGTAATTCTAAAACCATCACCTAATATGGTTTTCACAGGATTCACGTATCATACCCTACCAGAAAATTCTTGACAATTAAAACTGGAAATTGTTAATTTAAAAAAATCAGTAGAAATTCTTTCAGTTATGACATATTATTTAGTAGCAAAGCATAATCCTTCTTTCTACCATATGTGTTGTCAGGTGGCTCCCAGCTTCATAATTTATGCATATTCTAGCTTGCAATGAATAGTACATTCTTTACTGCCATAAACCAGGGAATTGGGACTTCTAAACTGTTTCAATCCCAGTAAGAAAGTTTCCATTAGTGAATTTAGTCTGTGTCTGAGTTCTCCACAGCGGTAGGGCATTTGCCTTGCATGCAGCCAGCCCGACTAAGCCGGGTTCGATTCCTCCGCCCCTCTCAAAGACCCTGGCAAGCTACCGAGAGTATTTCCCCTGGCAAGCTACCCGTGATGTATTCAATATGCCAAACACAGTAACAGGAAGTCTCACGATGGAAACGTTACTGGGCCCGCTGGAGAAAATCGATGAACAACGGGAGTACAGTGTTTGTGTTTTGTGTCTGAGTTCTCCAAAGTCAGAAATATGCTGTGTCCCTTGCACGCTGTACCACAGGGCCTGCCATTTCAAGTAAAAGTCTTCGTCTCCACCTTGTGGATGGTATGTCTAAATGCAGATGATACTGAAATCAGACTTTAAGGAAATGAATCATACATACTCAAAGGGATTATGCTTAGTTTATGCTACAATTCTGTTTAGAACGATATAAAAAGTTTGGAGTCTAGCTAACAAAAGGGAAAACATTTCAGTTGTGTCAATTTGACATTCCACACATAGGCAAAATGATACAGCTTCATTATTCATTTAAGCCCTGAGAATATTTAAAAATCAAAAAAACAAAAAACATTTCTCTCTTAAAAGACAGCATGATGCAATTTAATAGCTTCTAGGTATTAACTTTCTGTTAATATTAAGAAAAAATGCAAACTAAGAAGAGTAAAATACTGTACTTGTTATACACTTTCTCACTATTTCAAGAATTTTCATATACTATGCCATCTACCATTCATCAAAATCACCCGTGCAAAGCCGGGAGAGTGGAGGGGGCGTGGGTAGCATATTCGGTTTGCACCCAAACAAGCTCCATTCCCAGACCACCGCATGGTTTTCTAAGCACTATGGAGTTAGCCTTGAACTCTCCCAAGATCCTCGGGACCTTGCACTGAGATGGTCCTGTTGACCCAGACTCATGCAGGGTGAAAGGGAGGCCAAACTCCAGAACACTGTTTGGGAGCCCTCCCCTCCCCCACCCCAATAAAAATTACATGTGACTGATAATCAAGCATCTCTTTTATCTAATTGACAAGCTCAGTAGGATAATCACACTAATTAATAGTTGAATGCAAGAATGATATTGTTGTTGCATACCACACCATCTGGAAAGATTATTGTAAACAAGAGCAATAACTAAATTACTTAAGAACCTACGAGTTGAATGGGACCAAGTTTTCTCATTTAGACGTGTCATACAGGTGATGGGGCTGGAGTGATCCTTACTGATCCACAGAGATGGCATCTGAGCTGTTCAGCACCCAAGGGCTGGGGGTCGGGAGTCAGTGAGATTCTTTAGGCACCTCTCTGACGTTGATTAGAGATGCCTTGGAGCCGGAATGATGAGTGAGCCTACAGCAGATAGGATGCTTGACTTGCACGAGGCTGAACTGGGTTGATCCCTCACATCCCTAATCTCTGACACCCCCAATCTTGCGCGCCTCATACATTCCCCTGCGCACTGCTAGAAGTGATCCCTGAATGCAGAGTCAAGAGTTAGCCCTGAGCATAGCTGGTTGTGGTCCCAAAACAAACAACATCATTATCAGGTTAAAAAACAAAAGCAAATATTCTTGTTTTTCTTTATTTCTACAAAAAAAAACAGATCTAAACGGACTATATTTCATAAAACGTATCATCCTTTCAAGAATCAGATGATGTTCTCACTTATCTATGGCATATAAAATACATAACAAAGGCAAGGAAGATTTAAAGGAGGGAAAAATCCTTGGCCATAGTTTACAGAAGTGAAAAGGTCTGGGGAAAAGAGAAATAGAAGAGGCAACATAGGGGCAAGGACTTTAGGCACATCTGTGCTCAGAGATGACATATCTGTATATATGTGACCACTAGAGCCCAC